TACTTTAGCCAAGACAAATGATTTGCTGTGTGTTTGGACAGTAAATGCATGTGTTTTGCATGTTCTGTCTTGCAATACTTTGCTTGCATCCTTCAAGTAAATACTAGTTTGTACGGTACAAATAATCTCAAATCGGACTGGTTATTCTGTTACCCCTTTCAAATGCATGTAAAAAAGAAAAACGCTTTGATCAGTTTGGTATGCTACACTGCTATTATTTACTAGACTACTGTTTCAGAAGTCGGTATGGTGTTTTGCATCTAGTTTGCCGTGTAGTTAGTCCATAGCTAATAGTGTTCGTAATCATTTAAGCTTTGAATGCGAGTTCCTCAAATCGTGTTTGCAGCACGAGTTGGCAGAAATGGCACATTTAATTATAGCCCGACGCTTTATCGTGTATAATAACATTTGTTGAATTCAGCCGAGATAAATTGCGAGCTTACCGCTTGATATCTTTATTGCGGTCAACTAATCAAAACTGCGTTAAAGATTTAAGATTAATTTATATGGTACTTGAAAACCTATAATAATAAGGTTAATACGGTACAGTACTTCACCCTATCCTGGTTCAGGCTGGACCATTGGCGATTACGAGCTCTTTTGCCTGCAAAAACAACAGCTGATGAGCAGCAATGCCTGACCAGACTCCGGCTGTTGTCAATAGAAAGCACTTCAATGCTTAAAGAGATCTGCTTTTTGAACGTTTTCTGTACAAAGTGAACGTCTCGCGTGGATGTTCTATCGGTAGTACTTCGATGAATTTTTTGTTTTAATATATTTCACATTAGCTGATCTATTGTTTTATAATCTGGAGTATATTAAACATCTTGTTAAACAAGAGTACAGCGTTGAATTGGCAGCACATGTACATACAAAGGATCAATTTTGTTTGTTTCGATTGCCTCTTGCGAAATCCGTGCGCGGTGCCTTGCGTTCCACCATATTATACATGTAGTCCTGAATATTTGGTATTATACTTTCAGGCTTATCTCTTGTAATACCGCGGTACATGTACCATAATACTACATGTAGTGTCTATTCCACGCTAATTCTGGGTTGCCGTACATATAAATAAGATCGTCGATGGTGAGCTGGCTCTCTGTCACACATGGACGATGGTAAAGTTTCTGAAGCCTCACCATCATCCATGTCTAGCATGAACAAAGCTTATGGTAAGCTGACCAACGGGAGACACCGCGTGGCTGCCACACGGTGTGGTGGCGTAACCAAGGGATGCCAGTAACGGTACAGTTCCTCTGGTACCCACTACGTCTTATCCCCTTTTAAAGTTGATAAGATCGTATCCATCTATGACACTAACTCTTTTTAACTCTTTTAGTACCAATCAGCAGCCCCTACAATTAGAGCTTCGCGAAGACTGAGATAGAATCAAACGCGCTACGGAATCGACGCTGCTATGATGGCGTACGTCGAGTACAAAATGAAGTAATTTGGCTTAGCTTCGGTGTGTTAGACGTATTAGCAACATCAATGAGTGTTTCGCCCGATATAATTTAATAAATCTACGCACCTATAGGTCGAGTCCCAACCAATGCGACTTGCTGTTACTATGCATATACGGGTGACCCGTGGGGCAGAAGGACGTCCGATTCTCCGAAACTGTAGCCTTGTTGCCCTTTGAGTCTACGTAACAAGGCCAATCAACGCGAGCGAGACAGTGCACGATATTGGCCTTATAATAAAATAATACACTTGAAAAACAACCCGGGGAACCGCAATAATTCTTCGGCTAGTTTGCGATCAGTATCCTACTAATATCTGACTCGTGTAATGTGGAGCGGAACATAAAATTTCGTCCGTGAAATACTTTCTATTAATACTTTAGCGGCTAC